CGACTCGAAAGCACTTAACAACAACAAACATAACAGCAGTTGTGAGGATGGCCCAGGACAGGGCAGTGTTTACTAATGTTGTGCAAAAGGGCACTCACCGGCATCTAACAACAACAGAAGAAGATAGTCTGCTCTCTATTGGAAAATTAGATCCACTTATCAGAAAAGTTTCTGTGTCAAAGAAAGAAAAATTTTGATAGCAGCTTCATTCTTAAACCAGTTTTTAATGTAAGGCATCATTGTATCTTCGGTATGTACATTTCTGTGTGTTCCAGTAAACATCTCAGAGATACTATGAAGCGTTGCTGTACGTCAGAATATGGCAGTGGATTTGTACTCTCACCCTGAGGATCCCTGGTGGCAGTTTGGCCCTTACCAGTTCCTCCAAGAAAGAAAGATGTTCTTATGTAACAACTGCTGCTCTGTGCCATCGAGTCAGTTATGACCCATAGCGACTGTGTATAGGATTTCTGAGGCTGCAAATCTTTAAGAGGTCAGAAAATCTCATCTTTGTCTCGCAGAGCGACTGGTGGACTTGAACTGCTGATGTTGCAGTTTGCAACCCAACTCATAACTCACTGTGCAACCAGGGTTCCTTACCTTAAGACTTCAGCCATGAAAACGCTATGGACAGTCCTCCCCTCTTCTCCAGGGCCACTGGGAGTCCGTCAGCTAGGCGGCAATGGGATTTCCATTTGACTGTTTGCTTCCGGTGAAGCCAGCTTGGCATTTAATGTTGTCAAAAGGCAGGGATATGTATTTTATGTATGGAAAGTGTGTTAGATGTCTTGTTACTTGATAGAACTTTAACATATAAAACATTCTTGGGTTTAATGAAAATGCACCATTCCTGTATCATAGATTTGAACTGAACCCCAGGTTTATGAGGAAAGACTATTCTAAAGAATGAATATAGCATTGCACCTAGAGATGACATTACCTTTATTTCTCATCATAGAACCACAGTACTGTAACATGTTTTTGTTCTTGTGCAGCGAAATACTTGTGTGTAGCTCAAATTCAAATCTAAGAAAGATCAGAGTTAATAGAAAACCAAATGGAAGGCACTGTAGGTACTGGAGGAAAGAAAGACGTCCCTTTGTAGCTGCTCTCTTACGCCCAAAGTGCCACACCACAGAAGTCAGGGAGCCTTGCTGGGTGATCTGTACCCTTCTGCTTAGTTATATGACTTTTCATCTGAGAACCCTTTCAAAGTTTTTTTTCTGCCTCTGTATTTTTAAGAAATAAAAACTTAATGTAAGAACATGGAGTCTTACGAAGCATGAAGTTCCATAAATATTTATGCCAATCCTCAAAAGTAGACAGTTCCTATTTTCTTGACATATTGGGGTCATATCTCATTCTTGACCTCTTGAATTGAAAAATACAAGGCGTTAGTGTATGCTCAGCTTTCCTTTCTCTGTATTTTCATTTCTTTAATGAGTTGTGGGTGCTGAGGGCTGACCTGTTAGGTTCCTGTAAGTTTCTGCAGACTTTACTTTCTATCCTGATATTTAAGCATGCCTCTAAAAGTTTGCAGTCTGTCACCACAAGGAACGTACCTTACACCAGAGTTTAGACTTTTGTTGTTGTTAAGTGCCTTGAGTTGGTTCTGACTCATAGCGACCCTGTCTAGGGTTTCCAAGGAGCAGCTGGGTTTGAACTGCCTATATTGTAGTTAACAATTCAGGGCTTATCTTACAGCATCACACCAGGTCTCCTTAGTGGTAAGTTGATCAGTTTGAGCATGTTTTTTTACCATTAAAATAAAAGTAAAGGTGGTTTTTGTGAAGGCTAATAAAGTAGATTCGCATCTAACAGCATATTTTAAATTAGTACTTCCATTTTACTTTATCACTCGCTGAAAATCTTTGGTTCTTTACGCACAATGTATAAAGATGTAATTAGTGATATAAGGTGGGGTGGGGGGAATAGAAATAGTTTTTGTGTGGTACATTGAAGTTAGGTTGGTATCAGTTTAAATAAACTAGGTTGTTACAAATTCAGGATGTTGAATGTAAGGGCCTGGCCATTTCTGTGCGTTCCCTCCGGGAGTTGGTCCTGAGTGGCGGGGCGTGTGCATTCAGACAGCAGCGTCCTAGCCTGAGGGGCCGTGTGGGCTGTGGGAGGTCCACACAGAAATGGAACCATATGCCATGGCCCCAACCCTGTCTTTTTTTCGTACTCTCGCAGGTCCTCATGTATTAAACCATTTCTTTCTTCGATTGTCATCCTTGTCCTAGATGTTAATCACTTTCCCCTCATCCTGTGTGTAGATACTTGCCATCCTAAAAACAAAACCAAAAACAAAAAGCAACCAATTGTTCGTTGACCCTCTGCTCTCTGTAACTATGAACTCACTCCTCTCTCCTTAGCTGGCTTCCTGATTTATCCTTCCTTAAATTTGGAACCCTGGTGGTACAGCAGTTAAGCACTTGGTTGCTAACTGAAAGGTTGGTGGTTCAGATATAACCCATAACTTCAGGGGAGAAAGATCTGACAATCTACTTCTGTAAAGATTATAGCCAAGAAAACCCTTTGGGACAGTTGTATTGTGTCACTTGGGGGTTGCCATCAATTGAAATGGACTTGACAGCTTGTAATAAAAGCTGTCTTTGAGCAGTGTTTATTTTAGGTCATCCTTTAGGGAACTGTCGGAGACATCTCCTAACTCCTCTCCTACATTGTGGAGCCCTTTGCTTTCTCCCTTTCCTTCCTTCCTGTTCCGGAGCTGACTGTGTACCATAGCCACAGTGATGTATCAGAAGAGCCCAAGTAACCATTCCGCTTCTTACCGTCTTTCAGTTGGCCCCATAGCCCATGAGAATAAGTTCCAAACTCCTTAGCATGGCATGTCTGTGGAAAGATGGCTTAGCTCAAATGGTAGACATCTTTGTCAACAATGAGCATTCGGTTGTTTGATGGATGAAGACTGTAATCAGATCATACTATTTCATAAGTCTTGTTAGGTTTGGGAGGAAAAGAACTTCAGTTAATGAATCCTTGATCAGAATAGCCGTATGTGCTGGACATAAAGCCGCAGGACTTTCTGGAGGGCTTGCACCTGTGCTAACGCTGCAGCATCTACCATCACAAGTGGTATGTTTTTTAAAAATTGTTTTATTGTGAATTATGTGATAGTTTACATGGGAGAACATTAGTTTTAATTCATTCTATCGTATATCGCTTCATTGCTATGGTTACAATCCCCTCCATGCTTCATCAACCAACCAAAGGGTATACCCCGCAAGCCTGCCCCCCTGGTTGTCAGCACGCAGCCCCTCTCCCTCTTTGGATCTAAAGTCCCTAGCTGCTCCATCTCTCCACGTCATCGTCTCTGCCTCCATCTCAGGCATCACTGCTTCTCTGGGTAGGGTCCCACTCTCCGCTTTTCTCCCTGGATGGTCCCAGGGAACTCCGCTCCTAGACTGCAAAGTTAATCACTCCCCTCCTTGCTACAAAATGTCCACCTTTACATTTCCAACCCTCACAATCAGTCCTGATAACAATTATTCACTGTTGTATTACAAGAGACCTATCCGCATTTCCTTTCGTCAGGTCCACCTAGACAGACTGGATACTACTCAGTGGAGATTCTACCTTCCTTCATGCCTTCTGGATCTAGGTTCCCTCTTGAAAGCTTGTAAGCCAGTCACTTCTTGCCTTTGTAGCCCCTCCCCCACCGCCATTTTGGGTAGCCAATGTCCAAGTTGCCCATCCCTGTCTACTCTGTGTGTGAAGGGGTGGGAATGATCCATGCTGTAAAGTTTGTTCCCTCTTTTGAGCCACTGCATCTGTAGGTGTAGGTCAAGTTCATCATACTGTATCAGATTTTGTATCTTTTTTTTTTTTTTTTCCTCTTCTATCTTCTTCTGGTTGAGCTCTGATCATCAGTCATTGAAGCCAGGTCAAGTGGGTATTATCTGCCTGTATGGGTGTTCTATCACAAGTGGTTTTACCCCTTATACCAGGGTGCCCTACAAGGTCGCTGTGGGTCGCGTAAACAACACCCAGGGCGCTGATGCTTACATGGAATCTGTGCTCACTCTGCTCTTGCCAAAATTGCCGTCTGCTGTTTATACCTTCGATCTTGGGTTGGCCAGCCTTCACCTGTTTTTGTAAATACAGTTTGGTAGAAATGAAGTCACCTTGTTCATTTACACTCTTACCTAGGACCGCATTTTGTGCTACAACAGCAGAGTTGGACGTTTGCAGCAGAGACCCTATGACTTACATGAAAAAGTATTCCTACCTTTGCCTTTGAGCCATATAATGTTGGAAAGACAGAGTCTTAAAGGTAACATCCACATCAAGTGGTACACTCGTATCTCCCTATCAGTTGTCCTTTTGGCATTTACTACCAACGTAAAAACATCGATTTCTCTTATGCATTACCGATGTACATCTGGCAGTAATGAATCCTAAATGTAAAGATTAATAGTGTTGGAAACCCTATGGAGCAATTCTCTGCCCTTTAAGACTGCTGTGAATTGGTGTGAAGCATGGATCAGTCAGAACTAACGTCAACTGGATGCTGGAACAGGGTCCACCAGAGTCAGGAGTCACTCCTCAGTTAAAGGATGGTTGGGGTCGGGGGTCCTGGGACTGGGTAGGAGCTGATTGAAATGGGTTTGGTAGAGTGGGATGGAAGGGTGGGGGTCCTGGCTGATGAGCAGCTCTGTTTCTGCTGATGCCTGATTACTCCCAGTAGAGTCAGCAAACACATTTGAAGTGTCGGCCATGTGCCATGTACTTTTTCTAGGTTTTGGAAAAATGGGGACTGGGCTGGGAAGGGGTACAAAACAGGGGGATCTGCTGCCAAAACAATGCTTGCCCATTAAGGTCCCAGTACTTTAAATTTAGAAAAACCTTTTGAAATCTTGCACTAAGTCCCTACATTATGTTTTTGTTTTGTTTTGATAGAATTTTTGTATATAAAATAATTCAAATTTTATAGCTGCTGTTTCTTATTTAGGATGTGATTAATTTTTCGATTTCAGATCGCCTGTCTGATTCGAGTTCCTTCTGAAGTGGTTAAGCAGAGGGCACAGGTATCGGCTTCGTCCAGGACATTTCACATTTTCAGTAACATCTTGTATGAAGAGGTGAGGTGTTTTTCTTTTTCTTTTTTGAATGTGTTTTTAAGCTCTCATCTTTTTTTTTTTTTTTTTTTTTGGAGAAGTATTTTATAGTGCATTGCTATTCTGAGCTCTGTAGACCTGGTCCCAGCAAGCCTACAAGAGTCCTGAGAGCTACATTGAATGTCCAGTCCTTTTTTAACACTAAATTGTCTTTCCTTTATTTGTTTTAAAATTTTATTTTCCTTTTAATTTCCTGTTCCTATTTTAAAAAACAACCATTTCAAGTGCCACTACTGTATCAGGAGGTTTCAGAAAATGGAACGTAAAGTGAATGGAATTTTTCCATGAAGATTTTGAAGCCCCCGTGTATATGTATCTACATCGTAACCTTCCTGTAGGACTCTTGGAATCAAACATGGAGTGAATTAGAAATAGGAGAAGAGTGCAGCTAGTGTATTACAATAATATCTTGATTTTGTAGCTGTTCAGTGTTGCCCAGTCAGTGTTGTTTCCAGTCCCCATGAACAGGAGAATCGTAGGAGAATGTCAGTGGCCAGTGGCACACTCACTGTTTGTATGAACAAATGTAATTCCTCTTTTACTGATTAATGTTAAGTTCTTGGTCAAAAATAATGTTTGCAAACTTTTTATGTAGAAGACCAAATAGTAATTATTTTATTATGTGGCTAGGGGACATTTAGAATCCCTCATGGCACAACAGTTTAAGCAATCAGCTATTACCAGAGAGGACTGTTGGAATTCAGCCAGTGGCTCTGCGGGAGAAACCCCTGGTGATCTGCTAAAGATTGTTGTGTTGTTCTGTATCATCTAGCCTATTCTCATTCATAGTGACCCTACATACGACAGAGTAGAACCATCCCATAGGGTTTCCTAGCCTGAGATCTTTGTGGGTGTAGATCGCAGGTCTTTTGTCTTACAGAGCCTCTGGTGAGTTTGAACTATTGACCCTTCAGTCAGCAGTAAGGTACTTAAATCAATGCACCACCTGGGCTACTTCTGTAAAGATTTGCAGCCTAGAAGATTCCATGGGCCTGCTCTGTTCTGTTTCAGGGGGCCCCATTAATTGGAATGAACTCAGAGGCCCCCCAACAACAACGGAGCTTTTAGCTGCTTACCCTTAAACTTTTTATACAAGCCTCTTTTTCAGAAGAGAATCAATCTTGTGGAAATTTCATAGTCGCGGTTTTAGCAAAGCTATCTTGTCATGCTCTGTAACCTAGGTGAGGAGACCTTGAGTATTTAATTGTATGCATGAGATCAATGCAGTTGAGGGTCTATGCTGAGCTATGCAGAGAGTTAATAGATAAAACAAGGCTTGTCCAGAATTATTTATTAACATTAATTACTTTATTAGATATTACTATTATATAAGATGAACACTGGACTGCCAACCATAAGGTCAGCAGTCCAGACCCACCATTTGCCCCTTGGAAACCCTATACAGGGTCACTATGACATGGAACTGGCTAGACTGTACTTAAGAACAACAGCAACATTATATTGACAGGGTATTACTGAGTTTCTGATGATTTTGGCATGAAGCTGTGGATTTAGGTTTTATTTTTATGTAAAAGGCTAATTGGCATTCTGTGTGCATTTGCTTTGGGGAGTATTCAAAAACATCCTAAGGATTCCTTTCAAGAGAGGAAATGTTGAATCATAGCAACAGTAAATTTAATACATGGTAGTTTTATTACTAGACACTTTCCTATCTTAAACGATTACCAGTGTAGAACTTTCAACCTCTTAGAGAATTGTAGTTGTGAATGTTTTACAAGTCGGATTTTAGAACAGACATATCTGCTTTATTCAGAATGTGATTTGGAAATCTCTGCTCTCACAACTGTCTGAGCTCTTGTCTTTGTGTTTGTTTTAGGGCGTCCAAGGTCTGTACCGAGGCTACAAAAGTACAGTTTTAAGAGAGGTAACTCACTGAATTTCCAATATTGGAGTACAAAAGAATGATAATTTTTGTTCAGTAAATACATACTTCTGAAGTATCAGATGTTTATTTGGAGAAATTGGTCTAAAACATTAAAAGAAGGAATTATAATCACTTTTTAAAAATTCTGTTTAGTCTTGTTTCTTCTAAACGAATAGTTGGAATGGGCTTCCTGAAAGAGCAATGGCCTTGGTCAGAGCTAGAGTCGTGAAGTGTTTGTGTTACAGCAGAAACACTCAGGAAGGATTTCCTGGCAGTAGATTTGGGTTTGTTTTTGTTTACTAAGAGTAGAATTTCAAATTACTTACTGTAATCTGCAAAATTAATGTTAAAAATTAGTAATGAAAAAGCACTCTAAGAAGTGTCTTAAAAGTTTGTAGCATGTGGTTAGCTCTTGACTTGCTGTGGACAAAGCAGTTAACCAAATATCCTGAGCTGGGCGTTCAGTCTGGAGTCCTGGCTCTGCCGTGTGCCCCGGGCAAGCCACCCATCCCTCTGTGCCTTCCAAACCTATGGTTCTATGGTGGAGGATGCATACAGCCTTACCATCGGTACGTGAGTTCATATGCTACTGCAGGAAGACTGTTTTGATCTCTGTCTTCTGTGGAAGAGGCCGTTTTGAAGTTAAAAAGTTGTCTTACATATGTTATCGTTCTAGTTTGGGACTTAATTTTATATTTAGTCCATAAAACACAAGTAGGAACCTGTATCTGTCTACTTTGCAGCTTTGTTTTGTATATGGAGTTCTTTTGATACCAAATCATTTTCATGTATAAAAAAAGTTTTTAATTGAAATAAGTGTTCATATAATTAGCAGAATACATGCAGTCTCCAGGTTCTGAATGGGATCTGCTCATAACTGACCTTTAGAATGTGTAGGTCAGTTGTAGCAGGTACCTGCGGTTCTCATTTAACCTTACTTTAGTGCAAGGAGAGGCTTGAAGCCTTTTCAGTGATTGAAAAGCTATGCAAGCAGCAAATGAAAGTGACTGCAGTGAACAATTGGTTTTGGAGTAGGACTTGGAGGTTAGTTCATTGGTTCATTCATCCAAAATTAGGACAAAGTCACATAACATTTCAGGGCAGTGTGAGTTGTGAGTTCACTAGAAGTATCCACTCTGAACATGGGGTCTGGCTGTATTGGAAATGTTTTTGAAATCCTTCATTTTATTCCCAGGTATGTTTTTATTGGTACTTATTTATGTATTTACTATAGATTGCAGTCCTCTTTTGTTGAAGATTGCAGTCTTCTTTGTGTAACATCAGCACCTTCACATATTACTTGAGGCTTTTGATTTCCACTCGGTGACAACCTTAAGTGTAGTGAATGTTTTCAAAGTACGTTAATGTGTATGGAGATAACATCTGCTTTTCAAAAATATTACCTGTAACTGTATCTTCATTCTCTCCTCATGTTCTGACTCACCACACATGTGGTTTACTCATATTTCACCTGTATGCAGGAAAGGGGGCATGGGGAACACAACAAATCTTTTTTGATTTTTCTGAGAGATGCTGAATAAATGAATAGGTTTGCATGCTGTAGAATACTGGTTTGCATACAGACAAATAGAGGAAAAAACAAACATGGTTACAACTACATTCTGTTCTTTTAAAAATTTGATTTGACATATGTCAAGCTAGTATTAATTTCTCTGCTGTATTCCTGGTAGATAGGGTTAGCCTGCTGTGATGACTTTGTTTACTGATAAAGGCAGGGCTTTGTGGGGAGTTTAATTGGGGTCCTCTGTATTACGTGTATTCATGAAAGATCCTTCAGAATTGATTTTACTTGAAATATTGCTTTTGTAGAAATTTTCTGATAGAATGAGGGAAGAATTGTTGCTGAATGAAATGGAACTTCTTTTCAAAATGTGAAAAATAAGAAGTGATGTATCTACTCTAAACAGAATTTTTACTTTATAAATAGTTTTGGTTCTTACATTTTTCTGACACCAATATCAAGTCTTTTGCAAAGAGCTTGTTTGATTGCTTCAATAAGTAAATAAGGAAACTTACATATTTATTCTGTATGCAATTTTCCCTTAAAATAGTCTCATCTCCATGGCAGTAGCTTATTAGAGTGAGATTGAAATTCGAATCCATGCGGTATAAAAGAGATTATGTGTCTTCTTCAGATTTTTTTAATACTGTCACAGTTTTAATTTTATTTTACAGAATTTGATGCTTATAAAAATTGCATGCTTGTCTCTTATGTTCACCTAAATTATTTCAGTTCCTTTGAATTTTTGACTGAGTCTAAGCAGGGTCAGCAGATTATACTATTTCCTTCACCCTTTCAAGAGTCATCTTTGTTGTGATCCTGGTCAAAGAGAGGCAGGCATGCATTGTGGCTTACAGATGTTACTGCAGTGGGGTGGAGTGGGGAGCAGAATCACAACTCCTTACATAGGCTGATTTCAGAGGGCCCATTGCCCTTTAAAATCTCTATGGAGGACAGTTGCTAGTCTTCGAGGTGAATTAGAAGGACTTCTGTAGGGGGAAAAGGCAAGAAAGGCAAGTTGTCTCCAAAGAAGTTGGTATAAGTTAGGCTCAGCAAATGTGTCGGGCACCACCCAAAAACATTTCTACCCCAAAGGATTCATGTTCTGGTGGGGAAAACAACAGGGGATTAATTATAATTACTTTGCACTGCATTTAATAGGTGCTGTAGTGATTGTTATTGCTATGTTGAATGGATTCCAACTTGTAGAGACCCCTGTATAGGATTCCTGAGGAGTGGCTGGTGGGTTGGAACCGCCGACTTTGTGGTTAGCAGTCCAGTGCTTATTCTACAGTGAGTAGTACTCAATTACTATTTGTTCATTAATAGAAATGACTCTTGACTTTATTCTTGAAGTGGAAATGAGAAGTAATCAAAGAGACAGACAGATGAACACACAGGGTGTAAGAGAGAGCATGTGTGTACCTCACTTATCTAAGCAGACTTGGGGTTTCTCCTCTGCCAGTCATCCAGTGCTGCTATAAGAGAGATACCACAAATGGATAAGAAATTCATATAAAATGACTTTTTTTTTCTCACATTTAGGAGGTTAAAGGACCAAATTCAGAGTGCCAGTTCTAGAGGAAGACTTCCTCTCTCTGTAGGCTCTGGGAAAAGGGCCCTGTCCACTTTTATCCTCTGTGGGCCCAGCATTCCTTGCAGATCTCCATGTGTCTTAGCATCACTCTTCCCCTGAATCTAGGAGATTCTCGGTGCAGTTCCAAGTCCAAAGGCCCCACCTCACTCTTGGATCTTCTTTCTTGATCGCAGTAGGTCCCTCTGACTCAGCTTCCTTGTTTAATCTCTTTTATCTCTCTAAAGAGATTGACTCAGTATAAAACCAAATCCTGTAGATTGCATCCAGCCTCATTGCCATCATTGAAGAGAGGGTTTGTCACACACAGGATAATTACGTCAGGTGAGAGCTGATCACGTCAGCTCACATTGGGGATGGGGTGATTGCATCATTACCCAACTATTAAACCATTGAGAATCATGACCTGGCCGAGGTGACATATATTGGGGGTGAGAACACACAGGTCAATCCATGACACACTCCCATGTAAGAAGTGATTTCCCTCTATTTCAGGGTAGGTGAGGGAACTTTAAGAGGTCACTCAGAAAGTGAGGTACTTGCCCGAAGGAGAGGTTGACCCCCTCCCTCAGCTGGATGTTTGTTGAGCAGTTCATCCCGGGGTTGCAGTGCTGCTACGTGCCTGCCTGCAGTGGAGGGCATGGCAAAGCCCTCAGCAGAATCTGACATGGGACCCCTTGCTGTTTGTGCACACTTTACTGGTGGGTGACTTTGCCGGCATAAATCTGAAGGTGATAAGCTGACTGGAGATGCCTCAGTGGTAGGAAGTTGCCGTTGTGATGATGAGCAACCTGTGGTTTCCTTTCAGTAGATAAGAGTACTCACTAAAGACTCTGAGTTAGGGGGAGATGCCAGCGTTTTTTTATCGGACTTCAGTGTAGAAAGGCCGCTACCAAGTTCTACACACAGTCTAAAGCAAGCAAGTAAACAGGCTTAACTTCATCAGCCTGTTTTATAGGCGCGGCATAGATACCAAGCTGTCCCTTTAAGGGCAGAAACTACCATGATACAACTAGGCCTGGCAGCTTTACAGACTTAGTTACTCCACATGGCCTACTTCAGGTAGCAGAAATTCCTCCTAAGTCATAGACTATGCATAGAACACTTACTACTTTAGGCAACTGGCCTGTCCTCTTTAAAGATACCTTCCCTGCTCTGCTGTCTAGCCACTCAGTTCCTCTCCACAGAAACTGTTCATGTATGTATGTTTCTGGAGTTTTTTGTTTTTGTTTTTTTTTTAAGTGTTTTATTGTGAATTATATGATAGTTTACATGGGAGAACATTAGTTTTACATTCATTCTATCGTACATCATATCATTGCCATGGTTACAATCCCCTCTATGCATCATCAACCAACCAAAAGGTATACCCTGCAAGCCAGCCCCCTCCTCTATCCCCCCCTCCCCCCGTCTTCAGCACACAGTTGCTCTCCTTCTCTGGATCTAAGGTCTCCAGCTGCTCCATCACTCCACGTCATTGTCTCTGCCTCCATCTCGGGCATCACTGCTTCTCTGGGTAGGTTCCCGCTCTTGGCTCTTCTCCCTTGGTGGTCCTAGGGACCTCCACTCCTAGACTGAAAAGTTATTCCCTCCCTTCCTTGCTATAAAATGTCTACCTTTACATTTCCAACCTTCACAATCAGTCCTGATAACAATTACTCACTGTTGTATCACAAGAGACCCATCTGTATTTCATTTAATCAGCTCCGCCTAGGCTGATTGGATACTACTCACTGGAGATTCTGCCTTCCTCGAGGCCCCCTGGCTCTAGGTTCCCTCTTGAAAGCTTGTAAGCCAGTCACTTCTTGCCTTTGTAGCCTCCCCCCCTCCCCATTTTGGGTAGCCAATGTCCAAGTTGCCCATCCCTGTCTACTCTGTGTGTGG